TCCACATTGGTGTCGTTGGGAACCGTGTCCACTTGTAAACCACTCCTCACAAGGCTCACACGAAACTGAAGTTCTCGGTGCGCTTCAAGGGTCTTCTTTGACATCTTCAAGAGTCCTCGAAGTTGAAGACTCGGATCAGGAGCTACCGCCCCGATATCTTTAGCTCGGTGTCGCCAGCGGAGCCAACGTCGTAGAGCTGCTGGACCATCTTGGACAGTTTGAATCTCCGGAGGGTCTTCAAGGTTCCGGAGCAAGTTCTGTTTCTCAGAGATTCCGCCAGGGCTGTATGTCACCAGCAAGTGCGTGATGACACCAAAGGTGGTGAGCCTTCTAGCAGCCACCAATTCACCACGAACTTCTTGTGGAAGGGCTTGAAGAAGCATAGTCGCAACCCTTCTTTCTAACCTTTCCCATTTTTGTTGAAGCACTTCTTCAGGTGTCTCAACCTTGTGTTGAATCCTGTCCAGAGGAGACAGGGCCATGTGCACCTTGTACCAGGCTTCAGCTGCTGACACCGATGTCTTCCACCACACGCTCGCAGACGTTGAGAGGTCTGAGATGATGGGCTCGATGATCAACAGCCAGTCTCCAAGGATCAAGGGTCCTTGTTGGGGCTCCCACGGAGCCAGCAAGGGGAGATCTGGAGCTCCAGACCTCACCGTTTCAACTCCTTTGATCACGCCTTCGTCCTTTGGCTCGTTGAGGCGCTTGTGCATCTCCTTCATGGAGTCCATCATGAGTGCCATGAACTCCAAAGATCGCTCAGTGAAAGTGGTATTGGCTCCACTTCCATCATCCTTGGGTCTTTGACTTTGGGGGTCTGCAGCCTCCTTTGGTTGAGAGCTCCTCGAATCTTCGGCTTCATGCTTTGGGGGTCTCACAGCCTCCTCAGCTTTGAAACTTCGTGGATCCTGAGCTTCGGTCTTTGGTGGTCTCACAGCCTCCTTAAAGTGGGGGTCTGCAGCCTCCTTTGAGGGTGAGCCTGCAACCTCCTTTGAGTGGGGGTCTACAGCCTCCTTTGAGGGTGAGCCTGCAACCTCCTTTGAGTGGGGGTCTACAGCCTCCTTTGAGGGTGAGCCTGCAACCTCCTTTGAGTGGGGGTCTACAGCCTCCTTGGCACGGGAACCTGCAGCCTCCTTTGAGTGGGGGTCTACAGCCTCCTTTTTGGGTTCTTCCGGGGTGGAAAACTTCTGATCATCATCTACTCGCATGCTTTCCAACGTTTCGATTCTAGCCCTCAATTTTTGATTTTCTTCCATGATTCTTTCCAATTCCCTTCTAAGTTCAGCATGTTCAGAGGGACCAGGTTGAGGCATGTATGGAAACAGGTATGAAGCTTGATCCCCAACCATCCCAACTCCATGGACTCTACGCTCATCTTGCTCCAAAAACAAGGGTCTTGCTATCGGTTGTGGCACCATTGCGGGTGGTCCCAACAGCTGATTCCCTGGATAGAGCCAAGGTGCTTGGTTGTAGATTTCCTGGAATCTTCGAATCTGGCTTTCATCAAAAAGAGGAACTGAAGAAACATTGGATTGGGCAGCAGGTGTGGCTTCCACAGAAACAACTTGATGCACTCGCCCAGAATCATTTTCTGCATATTGAGGTCCATTTGACACACCTTGCACATTCGATACCACCATTGCCGCAGAGGTCTCAGGAGTCTTGGCAACTTCGGTGGATGCCAAAACAACCGCTTGATTTGAACCTGGGGCAGACTGAGGGTTCTGCTGCAGTTCGGAACGTTCTGATGGCGATACCTGAGTTTTCCTTGGTGTGGCAGGAACTGACTTCGCTGAACCTGACGACTTCGCAGCTGACTCCTGTGATGCCTTTTCTGCACCAGGAGGAAAGAAAGATTTCGGGGCACTTTTTGGCTTCTCCTCACTTCCCAGACTTTTATCCTTTGGATTTCCGGGGGACTCAAAAACCTCTGCCTCAGACCTTTCTTTGTCTTCTAACTGCGGCTCAGCTCCACTGGCCAGCTCTGCCTCCATACGTTGGTTAGCTCGTCGGATTTCATCTTCTCCTTGAGCTAGTTCTTCCGGTGTAGCCCTTCTTCGCTGCATCATCATCTGGAGCCACTGTGGCACGTTGGGCTCATAACCTGTGAAACATGATACTCTGCCCACACACACCCCAAGCTGGATAGCTACCAAGAAAGCTACCAGGCATGGAGGCACGCACCGGGGCAACCGGCTCTTAAGGGCTTCAGCTACTCACACGCACTCCCCCCACTCTGCAGCTCAGGCATGCAGAGTGTAGTGTATGCAACCTGGCAGAGGCCGTTGGGCTTGAGCCACCGCACCAACTGTTAGGCGCCTCGCCAAACTTCAAAAGCCAAACTTCTCGCTGATGAACTGCATCGGCCCCCCGCTTTCTGAGACGCCTCGCGTCCCCCGCTTTTTGAGGCAAAGACTCGCCCTCCAACTTCTTTGTCGAACAGGCCCTGCACACCGCAGATCTCCCAGCTTCACCACACCTGCAAGAAGCATTCCCAGCGGGCATCAAAGCCGCGCAATGGCCACATTTGGGCTCATAACCTGCTGTTGTAGGTGCCCAAATCCTTAACCTTCAACTCCACCACCACCAAGTCGCACCTGCTCGTCGTTCTTTTCCAGGGTGCTATGGCTGCAAGTCAGCAGCAGTCGGACTTGATTCAAAAGCAGCTTCGGTGACAGCCGCAAATGAAAAGAAACAGCTGGGTATGAATTGACATAGAAAATAGGGGATTGGAATGCATGTTATGTACTCTGAACACAGCAATGGGGGTTTCCACAAACGGGGGATCCCCAAAATGGATGGTTTATAGCGGAAAATCCTATTGAATCTGAATGAATCTGAAATGGATGATTTTGTTTGGAAATATCCATATCGGGCTGGCGAGCACATTCTCATTTATAGCGATGTCATGCTAGACTTCACGAGAAAATGTTGGTCGAAGTATCGGGGAAGGCATCAGATATGCATGCAGATGGCGGAAATCAATGGAAATCAGGTTTGTGAGTTAATACACAATATATCTGGGTAGAATATAGTGACCCCATTTGACCTCGCCATGATGGCTAGTAGGGGTAACTTAGTGACTTATACTACATTTTTCCCAGTATCAAAATAGGCACGCATCGATCGACAACCCTTGACCCACTGATGGATAATCCCAAGTCGTGGCGCCAAACTGGAGGTGTGTTGCAGCAGGCAGCTATTTCCTTCGCATAAGCCTTGCCCTCAGCGGATTCCTTCAATCTTGAAAATGACATTAGTGACATGCCCCCCAACATAGCATCAGCAGGCACCCTATGTTTCCCACTCTCCAAGCACTTTCTTGGGTGTTGCTGGTGGAAAACCAAGGGAAGAGTTGCTGTTGGATATTTGCTTGGAGCTCCGCACACACGAAGCGCAGCAGGACATGGAATCTCAGAGCTGCGGCAGGGGTGGGCCATTCCAATCAACAGGGATCATGATGATCATGAACTAATCAAGTACTGGAATTCCTGTGAATCAAGGTTTAGGTTGGGGATGGCAACTGGTTTTGGGGCACTCTTCGACGACCCAAGGTGAGTTGGGTTCCTTTGTGTGAGGATTGGTCAAGAATTGTTTGATGGTCGTTGATTGTGGGTATAGCATGGTAGAGATATGGAACATGGGTTTCCCATGGCCAGGTTACCAGGTTAGATTGCAAGAATGTCATTCTCCAAAAAAAATGAACCACCCAATTATGGAGGCTTACTATTCACATCTTCGGTTGGATACGCCTTGGGATTGATTTATCAACTGTGAATCATAGCAACTTATGGTTTAGCTAGTATGAATAAGAACAACTAAAAAAAAAAAACAGATTGGATAATCAGGTGAATAATGGTGAATACCATCCAACATCAATGGGAACCACCAATTATAGGGGATTTACGCCGGGTTAGCTTGCTAGCAACTTAGGCTCAACTTGGTGGTTTCAAACATATTTGGGGAACTTCTTTGATGTTTGGAATGCTGATTCCCCCGATCTTTTTTGCCCGAGGTTTGTGGCTCAAATTTCACATGGACCCCCCATCTTGGGGTGTCCCAGGAGTTCGTCATTGCAGTGCTGAGAAGCCATCCAGCTCTGCACTTGCAGCCAGCGGCCCAGCGCTGTCATGCCATGTCGGAGCCAGTTGAACCAGTTGGTAGGTCGTGAAGATAAGCATGGTTTACTCATGGTTTACTTATGGCTTACTTGCTAACCATGGTGATTATGGATTATTCCTATTGGTGTGATTAACCACTTACTTGCTGAGATGCGCCTCCAATTCCTGTGAGACCAACCAGTGTTTCATTATTTTCCATGTTTTTTCAACATCATCTTGTGAAACATGGACAACCACGTTTCTTTCTTGGAGGCTTGGAGGCCTGAATACATGACTAAAAGGGTCTGTTCAGAAATGGGGACACCCTAACTTGACCTGATCAAAGAGGGAAATTGATGATGATCCAGTAGTTTAGGTGTGCCCCAGACCTATACAACAGTGATGCAACAGTGGCAATTGGGTTTCCCCAGGGCTATCTTTTAGTCCTCAGCAAACATCGCGGCGTTTGCAGCTCTCAGTGGGCGGCCAAAGTACTCGCTGCTCGTTTTGTATACCCAAGGTATGTGACACTTCGACAGAGCGACAATGATCCCTTCAAGGTCCACATCCCCATCTTTTTTGGTGGTCATATCCGGTCATATCCCTGGCTACGTCCCAGACCCCACATTTTTCCTGATTCCAGGGTGTCAAGGTGGGTCAGTTTCTGAGCAGCCAAAGGGAAGATCGACCTCACCCCTCACCACGTCAGCAATTCAATATGGTCATAGGAGGGTGGAATATCGCCGCCAGGATCTCTGGTGAATTATGATCATTGTAATTCTAGTGAGACTAGTAATATCTAGTAATTATAGATATTTATAGATACATATATAACTTCTACTTACATAGAGTGATAAAAAAGGCTAGTCATAGGTCTCAAACATGGACGACCAGCCCATGTACACATCCTCGCTGCCGTCGCTGCCGGAGTGTCAACCAAGCAACAAGACCATGTCCCAGGCCTGGGGCTTGTTTCCATGGGAACATCATCCATGAATTGGATGTTTTTAAATGGGGGTTTCAATAGATGACACAAATGATATAAACCTCAATAGCTGGATGATTTGGAATGGAAAATCCGTTTTTAACATGGATGATATAGGGGTACCCCCATTCCAGGAAACCCCCAAATATGTTTGGATGGCACAATCATGAAACTAAATCATCGGTTCTAAATGTTAGTGTTCCAATGTTTTCGAATTATTTTCATGGCTATTGATGGTTGTAATTCCCTGGGTTTAAATGAGACATTGGGGGTTTTGTTGGGACGATTATAAAACTAAACTATATGATCTATAGGAGATGAATTGACACATGCAAATGGGAACATCTGTTATTCATTGACTAGCATTGTAAAACCATTATAATTATTGACTACCATAATAATGGGAACATTACAAACAACAAATCAATGAATCGGGGTCTAACGGGACAATCATCCCATCCTAACGGGACGGTGAATCCTCTACTGTGACCGGTGAATCTGAATCCGCTGCGGCTGGGTGGGTCAAAAAGAGGTCCCGCTGCTTCAACGCGGATGACGAAGTGGAATTCGGATATGGGTCTATCAAATGGATGATAAATATACATATAAATAAATAAATATATATATATATGTATGGATAATATTTATGATAAATAAATGGATATATATATACATAATCATATATATATATAAATATTAAATGGAAAAATGGATAAATGGCATTTGTTTAACGCGAACAACATGGGAAATGAATGGAAATGATCATGGGGATCAATGCAGCGTTTTTATTGCGCGGCTCCACGGTTAGTCTCCCCGGGACCGGGGACTGGTTATGCGCTCGGTATTTTTTACATCCCATATTTTGAGTATCCAATGTTGACCCTTCCCCATATCTGGCATATTGCTGGTGATTTCTGAGACCTGGACCTAGTCATTAGATAGATGGATTTAGATGGTAAGTCAAAACTTTCTTGACACATGGTCCAATGTTAAAGGATGTTAAAAGCATGAGACTCCGGTGGGTGAACATGGGTGAACATCTTCCATAAACATCCCTTGAATATCGGCCATTCTTCCAGCATCTCCAGCAGAGAGGTTGAGGTTTTGAACCCCAGTTTTCGAACGCCTTTGGTTACCCTCTGGTAATTTAACATAGCTATGGAAAATCACCATTATTAATGGGTAAAACAACAAAAAAAATGGGTCATATTCAATAGCTATGTTAAATTACCAGAGGATAATGATGATATGGGATATGATGGGACTATACTGCCCAAAATTTTGGCGATCCCCTGGAGAGGCCGCAGGTGATGCCCTGGAATCCTGGCTCAGCGAGGAGTCACATCTGTCCAGTGACTGCTCTGGCTCCGCACAATCTGCACATGGCTCGGGCGAAACTGGTCGGAGCCAAAGTGAACTTCGAGATCCCAGCGAATCTTGCTGATGGTTTGAGATATTTTTTAATATTTCTAGCTAGGGCAGCTAGGGATGATGATTCCTAGTGAGTTCGCACATTTTGAGGATTGCATCCCCTGTTGTTGGATGATGACCACCTGCCCAACCAATCGAAATTTCAGTGGGCCACTGATTTCTATTGATTTCTTACAATTCAGATTGTATGAGTGGATGAACCACCAACCATATCAGATAACTATGGCAACTATGGTTGATTCATTTTTATGACTTTTGTTTGGTCATGTCATGACTATAATATATATATATATAATAACCACCACTATGTATGTACACATGGGTTTGTGTATCTTGGTTTGGTGTGTATAATGTATTACACATGTGCAGACGCACATCATACATATATATATATTACTGTATAATATGAACATGTACACATACACACATGACTAAAGTATACAAATACACACTTGGTCACGTTCATAACAAGTATACACATTTAATCACATTTATATATTTTGACATATATATATATATACACATGTGTGTGTGTACACATACAAATATAGATACAGGCACGCCTGTTCCTTTACAGTTGTGTACAGATACACACGTACACACAGGTACACACACATACACATATATACATACAAACACCAATACACACATATATATATACACAAACATCTATACACATTATAAATGCATACATGCATAAATGCATACATGCATAAATGCATACATGCATAAATGCATACATGCATGTATGCATTCATTTGCACATTCATACATTCGTTCGTTCACCCATTCTTACATTCATACATACATTCAGTCGTTCATTCATACATTCATTAATTCAGTCATTTCATAGTCTCATAGATACAAAGTTATATTCATATATATATATATATATACATATATATATATACATACACACGCATACATACACACACACACTTTACATACATCTGTACGCAGATGCATAGATGTGCGTTTACAGCCCATTTGAGCTATTAAAAGATACCGTGGTTGATTGTTTATTATAGAGAATTACACCACCTGGGTTATTGGGGATTATGAACTAACCCATAGTCAGGAAAGCCATCAACAATGAGTATACTGAGATCGGATAGGAGTCCTGAACATGGCTTGTCCTGAAAATAGGGTACATACCCCCAAAATCTGGTGTTTCACATCATTTTACCCTTGGCCATGACTGGAGTGGCCCCATTTTCACCAGGAGTTCAATGGCGGAAGTCGACTGGTGGGAATGGCCCTTCCCCCTGTGGCCTCCGCTTCTACCACTGGATCTCAGCGACTGGCCCATGTCACCCGGCGGAACCCCTCTGGAACCGGAGTTTGATGGAATCATCATAAATGAAAAGGATCATTTGATATAATATTACTCATAGATGTCCAGTATATTTCCAGCATGTGTCACGTCACTATCAACCATCATTATTGGGTGAGGTTTCACCCATGTTTGATGCTTCAATCACCGAACTAAACAGATTTGTGGGAACACCATGATTTTCCCGCTTTCGTAATCAATGGACATGAATTGGGGTATCCCCCATTTCTGGAAGAATCCGGCCACAATAGCTTGTATTATGAACGAATCACAGAAACATGCCCAGAAATTTGGTCCTTTTTAGCTGCTTTAGCAATGATCCAGTCTTCCCGCGCAGATCCTGACGTGGCCAAGATCCTTTGACAACATGGGTTGAAGCACCAATCAGAGAATGACCCAAAATTGCCCTATCATTTGATGAGAAAACATGCTGACCATGAGATTTTCGGGTATCCAAACCATTTCGGTTGCTTCATGTGCGAGGGTCGAGGGTTTGATGAGCTTGGATGTTGGGCCATCTCTGTGGGCCAAACCCAATGGTTTATCAGCACATAGCGCACTAAAATGGATAGAATTTGGGGTGTCTCCCATTCACACCCAAATCATACTGTTGGTCATGTAATATAAATAATATCTATACATTATACATATATGTCTCATTACATCCTCCGTTAAAGTGTGGCCTTTACACAGAATTTTTTTCCATAAATCAGCCAGAAAACTTCCCATCGTCCGAGTGATCCCAGGACAGTTTTCTCTTGGCACAACACCGGGGGAAGATCAAACGAATTCTGGACCGAGACGGTGGGCAATCCCAAAGTACCCGGGTCACTTGGCCCATCGATCCCATAGATATGCAGGTTTTTGCGGAGATTCTACATGTGACCAAAGTTTTACCATGGCTATTTGGGTCAACCAACTGTATTTTGAAATACTTAATCTCTTGCCATTTGGATGGGGAAATATTAACTGAACCAGCTAAAGGTGATCAAACATTGCAGTTGGAACTCACCCATTTAGATAAGATGTTCCTATTGGAAAAGGGGTAGCAGAATTCAGAACTCCAAACTCATCGAATTGCGGTTGTTGCTGCATTTTTGTTGGCAGGGAAACCAGTGGCTTGGTACGCCCCAAAAAATAGATCATAGATAATGAGGGCAAGTGATACTGCACCTCCTTATATGATTATGCCAGACCCCTCAACCTTGCCACATCCCCGCTCCCAGGCGTTTCATGTTCGCAAGAAACGGAAAATCTACGCCATGTTTATCTATGACCTCTTCCATACCGTTCTGGAACTGCCTTTCTTGGGTCTGTATCCGATGGTTTTCTGCTTGTACGTCTTGGCCTCAGGGACGTGCTTCAAGATGCTGCTGCGTGTGGCCAAAAAAAACATATCCCTTAAAGGTGGATGGGTTTTATACAGAAGACTATCAAATCTATCAATGTTGTGGGTCCATATTCTTACCTGTTTTGAGCCATACATTGGACATGTGTGAGATGAACTACGTCACTAAGTTGCACTGCATCTGACCTTAGCACCTTTGGAATCACCGTTCCAAGATATTCCGAGGCTTTGTGCCACTTTATCTTTGCTCTGGTATGGTGGTCCATTTCTGATAACTGTGCCATTGGACTCTCGAGCCTCCTCTCGGCCTTCTACTTCTCAGTTGAGACGCAGATGACCATTGGCTGCTGAGCGACAACTGTGGTGGGCCATGCCAGGAATGGGGCTATGAGTTCAGTGAAAATCACAGTTCAACTCCATTTATAAGTGGTGGTCACAATAGGGGCCCATCACTGTATCGGGTGTGGAGGAATTTGGTTTTCCCACTGAACGTAGGCTAGCAACGAATAACGAATCAAGGAAGCCCCAGGTTGCTGATTACCTTTGATATCTTTGATGCTGCGCAAGCGTAGGTTACGGAGCTCCAAAAGAGAATTTTGATGGCTGCCCAGAAGCCGTGTTGATACTTCCACTTCAGGTGGGCGGTGGCCATGTGGGTCAAGCCATATTTTTTTCGTGGAGATTTCCTGACCTTTCCTGACCTGTCCAATCTGTCCAGACCTTTGGATCATTTTTGAGGTATACCAGGTATGCCCTATGCACGACACACTGGCCTGAAGCATGCTTTGAACACAGCAATAAGCTGAAGAACACCTGGGATGCGAGAGTAAAAGCTGCTGGATTTGCAGTTCTATCTAACCAGCTTTTGTTGATAGCATTCCAAATTTTGTTGCTGATTTCCCATTTCCTGCTAGCCGCTAGCCATTTATCTATATGTTGGGCGGCACCCTCCAACTGTAGGGGTGTGCGTCAAAGGAATGAACTCCACAAAAAGCATGGTTTCATACAAAAACAACAGCCATTGTCAGTCCAAACAGGTACCAAAGGGTTTGTCACTCCGAATAGGTTGTCCAACTTCAGAATTGGCTTCTCATCATTTTCCACCATCATTTTCCCGATTGAAACTGTCAAATGATAGCAATCATTCCCACGTTATTCCCACGTTATTCCCACGTTATTCCCATGTTATTCCCATGTTATTCCCATGTTATAGAATGGGCTAGCGCCCTGGTGCCGCCGACCCCCCTATTGGGGGTGGTCTGGTAGAGAGAGAGAGAGAGATCATTGCGCTTAGAATTGTGATGGACGCCCATAAGAAGCCATTGATGTGTGGCCTTGGGGTGCCTGTTGGCTGCAGGATGAAGCATGCCAAGGGATTGTTTAAGCGGCCCATAAGAAGCCATTGATGTGTGGGCTTGGGGTGCCTGTTCATGCCAAGTCAGCGTTTTAAGGGTTTTAAGGTTTTTAAGGGTTTGGAGGGTTTGGAGGATTTTAAGGGTTGAAGGACTGGCAAACGGCAGGCTTGGACGCCCATAAGAAGCCATTGATGTGTGGCCTTGGGGTGCCTGTTGGCTGCAGGATGAAGCATGCCAAGGGATTGTTTAAGCGGCCCATAAGAAGCCATTGATGTGTGGCCTCGGGGTGGCTGTTGGCTGCAGGATGAAGCATGCCAAGTCAGCGTTTTAAGGGTTTTAAGGTTTTTAAGGGTTTGGAGGGTTTGGAGGGTTTGGAGGGTTTTAAGGGTTTAAGGGCTGGCAAACGGCAGGCTTGGACGCCCATAAGAAGCCATTGATGTGTGGCCTTGGGGTGCCTGTTGGCTGCAGGATGAAGCATGCCAAGGGATTGTTTAAGCGGCCCATAAGAAGCCATTGATGTGTGGCCTCGGGGTGGCTGTTGGCTGCAGGATGAAGCATGCCAAGTCAGCGTTTTAAGGGTTTTAAGGGTTTGGAGCGTTTGGAGGGTTTTAAGGGTTTAAGGGCTGGCAAACGGCAGGCTTGGATGCCCATAAGAAGCCATTGATGTGTGGCCTTGGGGTGCCTGTTGGCTGCAGGATGAAGCATGCCAAGGGATTGTTTAAGCGGCCCATAAGAAGCCATTGATGTGTGGCCTTGGGGTGCCTGTGCATGCCAGGAAAATGTTTACGCGATGTGGCCTTGGGGCAACTTGCTGGCTGCGAGATGGGTTTGACCTTGGAAAGCGATGCCAAGTCAGCGTTTTAAGGGTTTTAAGGTTTTTAAGCGTTTGGAGGGTTTGGAGGGTTTGGAGGGTTTTAAGGGTTTAAGGGCTGGTAAACGGCAGGCTTGGACGCCCATAAGAAGCCATTGATGTGTGGCCTTGGGGTGCCTGTTGGCTGCAGGATGAAGCATGCCAAGGGATTGTTTAAGCGGCCCAGAAGAAGCCATTGATGTGTGGCCTCGGGGTGGCTGTTGGCTGCAGGATGAAGCATGCCAAGTCAGCGTTTTAAGGTGGTTTTTAAGGGTTTGGAGGGTTTGGAGCGTTTGGAGGGTTTGGAGGGTTTTAAGGGTTTAAGGGCTGGCAAACGGCAGGCTTGGACGCCCATAAGAAGCCATTGATGTGTGGCCTTGGGGTGCCTGTTGGCTGCAGGATGAAGCATGCCAAGGGATTGTTTAAGCGGCCCATAAGAAGCCATTGATGTGTGGCCTTGGGGTGCCTGTGCATGCCAGGAAAATGTTTACGCGATGTGGCCTTGGGGCAGCTTGCTGGCTGCGAGATGGGTTTGACCTTGGAAAGCGAAGAAGGAGAAGTTCCACACCTGCGGTGGTCCCAGGCGCCGCCCCTGCCTTGGCCAAGGCCGGGGTCGGCGGATTCCCATGTTATTCCCATGTTATTCCCCCATTTTTGGAACCCACAAAAAAACGGAGACACCGGAGTTTTCCCAATGGCGCAGGTGGTTTGCGGACAGTTTCTGGACGCTGCAGTGATCGGGGTGGTCTTCGCCCAGTAGCTTGGTCACTGGGGATGGGGGTATATAGCTATGAATTGTAGAGACAAACTCATGTTTCATGAAAATCACTGAGTTGGGGACCCTGGGGATATTTCATAGGAAATCAATGGAATGGAATTCATGTATGTATATATATATATATTATATATATATATAAATAATTGATTATGTAGGTGTTTCTGTCCCTGGATATAACAGTTTCCTGTAAGTTTCCCTTCATCCAATTCTAGGATTTTTTTCGGTTCATCAGCAAAATCACCAAGAATTTTGAGAACAATGATGGCCCCCATCAGGTATACCCATCACTATCACATGAGAATAGGGGAAAGGGCCATCTCCAAGCTTTCTGGCATCATGGACAATATGGACAATGCTATGGATAGGGAATAGTGAATATCTCCAAAGAAATTGGTTAAAACATTGTAATTCATATGTATTGTACATATATATATATCCATCAAGTGGAGCACATTCTTAGTTCAAAAAAAATATATATATATATATCCCATCGTATTCCATTCACAGATCCCTATTATCCTGAATTTGCTGCAGATGATTTTGGAAAAAACAACCAATGGGAAATCCACTAGACATGGGGAATCCATACGGAATATTTCTCATGTTTTGGGGGTTCCTGGATTGCAAATCCAGTATATCAATGGAGCCTCTAATGGAAAAATAAAAATCCTCTATGGTAGTATAGACATGATTCTAGATGGTGTTTATTTTCCAGCAAACCATTCATAGATTCCCATATTTTACTGGTACCATTTGCACCATTGATCTACATCCCCAATTCCGAGAATTCCGGGACCGAGGATCTCAGCAGTTCCTCGGCGCTGTCGGTGGTCACAGGGGGATATAGATAGTGGATATATATATATATGGGATGCAATGGGATAAATATATTATATATATACACGTATGTATATACTATATTATACATAATGGGAGAGACATGCATTGTGATGGGATCTAATGGGATGTAATAGGAGACAATTGAATATGATGAATATGTATGACCACCCTTGGGGATTTGGGGTTGTCCGGTTGTCCCCATTTTCTCCATGAAACATCGGGGATGATTCGAGCTGGGAATCCCATCAGTATCAAAAGCATTCCAAAGTCAAAAGCCATATACGACGAATGAAGAGACATGTTCAAGAATTTGAAGGGAAAATTGTCGGACTCCCATGATGGACTCCTATGTCTTTGATGATAACAAAACATCATTTTCTGCAATTTTGGCACATTCCTATCGGTACCGTTGGTATACCATTGGTATCTCCCAGATCACTCCAAGTTTCTGAGGCGAGCGCGCATGCTGCCAGCGTGATGTTCAGCGATACAGCTCTGCTGCGGGTGATCGATGGCTGTGCGTATCTCACATTTCGCATCGCTAAAAGGCCGGGTAATGGGAGCTGTTCTGGGCTGTTTAACCAGAAACAGGGCATATCCCAAAGGAAGAGGTGGATTCAGGAGCTATATAATTATTATTGATTTGTTGTTTCTTCTGTAACGTGGGTCTGCATATGACAAAGCTTTATACAACTCTTGAGTTCATTCTGTCTCCTATGGGTCTTATGCACCCGTTGTTGTTTTTTTTTTCTTCTCTACTCTACTCCTGTCTACTTTTCTCCTCTTTACTCTTCTCCTCTCTTCTTTACTCTCCTCTACTTCATTTTCTTCCGTCCTGCGCTCTTCTCCTCTACGATGATTCTCTATTCATTTCCTTTCTGCTCTTCTCTTCTCTACGCTTCTCTACTCTACTCTTCTTTTAGTTCACACCTACAGGGACTGATTGAACAGTACACGAATTGCGTACTGGAATGTACTCCTTTTCCATTCCCTAAAGCAACCGTTTTTTCATGGGAACATGATGAACCATCAGATTTTGTGACAACCCAAGTCTTGGGGAAAAACCCAAAAAAACCATGGTTGTCTCATCGGATTGGCGCCCCTGATTATGTCGGCCTTGTTGGTTCGGTCATGAGATCTCAATGTTTGCGCCATTCCCCCTTCGATGATGGGTTTGAGAGTTGATTTTCTGGCGAGCCAAAAGTGAACTCCCGGGGCCCTGCATAATCCCTGCGCAGGACTGGCTTTACCTTGTCACAAGGCCGACATGAGGGTTGCAAGGAATGTTGCAATGATGGGCCCCTACCAACTTGAAACAAACTATATATACATATATATATATAATATACTATGTATGTATATATATATACAAATACATATACATATACATATACATATACATATACATATACATATACATATACACATACACATACACATACACATACACATACACATACACATACACATACATACATACATACATACATACATACATACATACATACATACATACATACATACATACATACATACATACATACATACATACATACACACACTTCCATGTCAATTTCCCAATAATACTGGGGCTACAATTGCGATTTGACTAGTGTTAAGTAGGCCTAGTTCGCCCATTTGTGGTCCTGTTTGGGGGCCTATCTTTGTGGAAAAGTGTATCCCCCCGACAATGCCAGTAATCGGACAGGATCTCTAGATTTCAGGATCCAAATAGCTCTGAGGGTTGCCACATTCTTTGCAGGAAAGATCCAAGTCTATTGCGTTCAGCATCACAAGGACTGGGCCTCCAGATGGCATTGAGCAGTAAACTGCCGAGTTGTCGATGTAAATCATCCAATTTCGACGATTTTTCGTGCTACACCGCGCGATTTGGACGCATTTTTTGGATCGAGTCCCTGCTTCTCACATGTGCCACCTGGCCAGGACCCCACACAGCCCAAAGGAGTGCGGGTGGAAATCAATGCGCAACTTGGAAAGGAAGACCAAACCATCAAGATTGGGATCCCTCTGGTACTTCGACATATATACTGTAGCTGGGACAGAAAACGCCGGAAAAACCCAACTTTCAAGGGGTAGATCATCAGGCCAGTTGCAGGTTCAGCTGCAAAACTGAGGATGGATTTGATCGAGCCTGACATGGACATGCACAACGGCGTGATTTTCCTCGGGCTTCCCACAGAAGTGGTTCACAAGGTGCGCTTTGCCATCTCGGATCCCGGATAGCTGATAGCTATTTCTAGCTGGTGAAACCAGATCAAATCGTATTTGCTTGGTGGTGTCAGGATGTTTCAGGATGTTTCAGGATGTTTCAGGAGGTTTCAGCTAATTATCTCATTTATCTTGTTTTGATCTTTATTCCGTTCTTCCATGTTTCGATACGGTGATTCAAACCAGAGTACAATAGCATCGGGAAGTGCTGGCGGGGCTGGTCGTCGTGTCCAGGTGGACTATGAGAGCCCGTTGTCTCCCGTGGTTCCTCGAGGTACCGAAGGTCATCCGCATGAGCTGGACGTTCGCACCTACATGCGACAGCCGCTGGGCGGTGGTGGCGGTCTGGAAGTTAAAGAAGAATCTGTGTATAAACCGAGTATTAACATGATTTAACATGTATTAACTGGATCCAATTGTAGAAGTGGGTTGAAACTAGCATGGCTATGAATCACAATGACACATTTACTAGATGGGATAGAGATCCAATGGCATGCCCCGTAAAATCTACTCTTAATAGAACCCCACGATGGCCGGACTCAATAGCAAATTGCGGATTCCAAGTGACTTTTGTCTCGAAGGGTAACCAAAACTGCTTGGTGATTCAAATATGATTCAGTTTCAACGGTTGAAACTAGAAACCACCAACCAAAATAGTGAACGCGCAACAGTCGACATGCAATTTTTTGAGTCGTTTGGACTTGCTGCCGACTGGCGACTGGCTAGTGGTGACAAGCTCCATGGGATGATCTATGATCCCCAGGTCCACTTATATGGAGGTGCTGGTCTTAGTACCTTGGTGGATCAGTACTTTGGCGCTGCAAAAACCATAGATTTCTCGTTGCAGATGATCTACGAGGAAATTCGCTATTTTGCTGTTGGCCATGCTGGACTGAAATATTTTGCTGTGTGTGAAAAACGTCTTTGCATAGGAAACATCCTGGATCCAACCCAATTATCCCAACTATCATTATTATCCCAATGTCATAATATCCCAGGATATCTATGTTTTTGGAAACAGTTCAACCCTTGATTGATGGTAGTTGACTTCAGGATTTTCTTTGGATGCGCATGCCAATTGGTGAATTTCATGAAAGCCACCTCTTGATGTCACTTTGTGAGGTCAGCGGAGTGGAGCAGACCACAGCAGCAAGTTTTGAAGCAAGGCATTCCTACACTTTGGATGACATCTTTTGGGACAGGACAGCGTGGAATGATTTACCTCTGAGAAATGGTGATTTTCCCTAGCTGTGTTCAATTACCAGAGGACATGTTTTATGATTTTCCCATTGGTGAAATATGGTGAAATAATATATATATATATGTATAATAATTACAGTAATTAATTATGTGCACTTTGTATGGCCCTCTCAAGCAAATTGAAGACAACGAACGGCCAGAGCTGCCAACACCCCCATCCATGCCCAGCCAACTGGCGCTGGTTACAATCAGCCTGCGCGTTTTTGAGGGGAATCTGATACTCTGTAATTCGGATGGGCAAAACAATGCAAAACATACAATCTAAGAATCCAACCCAAATGCAGCATTGTGAACATGTGTTTGTACCCCCCTGTGATGTTTGGCAAGTCCTTGTTGCAACGATGAGGACATTCGCGCCCTGTGTGTCCATCAACGAGCGTGGATATCATACAGTAGACCTGTTCAGCTTTCATCAAAGCCACATGAACAGAGCTGCTCGGCGGTGCACACTGCCCAATGGACCATAGTGGACCCCTGTTGATTGATGTTTATTCCCTGGTTTCAGGGATTACTCACTGGTTTACTCGGGATTGCCACATCCAAAAGCTTCATCCGATAGCCAGCAATGGCAGCAATGGCCTGAGGATGAGTCGATGGTGAATAGCCTGGACCATGCGATATCTACGCGAACACATCCTTCGATCCTGGCAACTCTTCACCCTCAGGTGGTTTCAGGGAACCTGTAGTTCTGATAGATTGACAGTGACAGGTGCTCAATTGTAAGTTCTAAATTCATCTAAATTCTAAGTATGATTGTTTCATGGGGGTTTTCAATGACCTCCCCTTGTTTTGATCGGCAGCCATGCCACCGTTTTTTGGGATGGTTGTTGGATCTTGCCCGTCTTGCCCTTTGTTTTCAAGTTTAAACATCAAATTCAGAGGTGATCATTTCCCCATTCAGCCATGAGGATGATGATCTTGATATGGTAGGATATGGCAGGCTATTCCAGCCCCCAACCGGAATCATACATAGTATTATGATGTATTATGTGTATATAGTATTATGATGTATTATGTGTGTATATATACGTGTATAATAATATACGTGTATATATATATATATACATATGTATATATATATATAATTACGAAAGCCAGCTAGCTGGCTAGTTGCTGTTTGCGAACGAAGTGAGAATAGGGGGTGTGGGGGGGGGTGGTTGCCGAAAGGGAACGAAATCTCGCCGTGCCCCTGTGTTGAGCGCGAGAAAACGGAGCATTTTGCTGGATTATGTACCACTAGGCAATTTGCTGACGGTGGGGTATCGATTCCCCCTAGGTCCGCCTTTTTGGTGGCCGGAGAGACCATGAGGATGTATTGGAAAATACAATGAAACTGCAGGAAAACATGATAACGATCAGAGGAAATCGTACAAAATCCCCTGGAAAACGGACGAAAACGGAGCGAATGCTAGGAACAAACCGTGGAAAATCCCTTGGAAAATGGAGGAAACCGGAGCGAATGCTAGGCGCAAACCATGACGATACAGTAAACATGCTGGAAAATACAGTGAAAGTGCAGGAAAATGTGATAACAACGAGAGGAAATGGTGCAAAAAGGATCGGAAAATGAAGGAGACAGGTAAAACTCTTGGATTAATACTAATATTGAAAAGGCATGAAAATGCAGGAAACCAGAGGAAATGGTGCAAAAACCTATGGAGGAAAGAGGTGAAAATGATAGGAAACATGTAGTAAAAAAATGCTGGACAAAACATATTGAAAGCCCACGAAGAGGATGTATTGGAAAATACAATGAAACTTGAGGAAAACATGATAACGATCAGAGGAAAATGCTAGGAACAAACCATGCAAAATCTGTTGGAACATGGAGGAAACCGGAGCGAATGCTAGGCGCAAACCATGACGATACAGTAAACATGCTGGAAAAATACAGTGAAAGTGCAGGAAAATGTGATAACAACGAGAGGAAATGGTGCAAAAAGGATCGGAAAATGAAGGAGACAGGTAAAACTCTTGGATTAATACTAATATTGAAAAGGCATGAAAATGCAGGAAACCAGAGGAAATGGTGCAAAAACCTATGGAGGAAAGAGGTGAAAATGATAGGAAACATGTAGTAAAAAAATGCTGGACAAAACATATTGAAAGCCCACGAAGAGGATGTATTGGAAAATACAATGAAACTTGAGGAAAACATGATAACGATCAGAGGAAAATGCTAGGAACAAACCATGCAAAATCTGTTGGAACATGGAGGAAGCCGGAGTGGCTGCTAGGAACAAACTATGACGATGCAGTAAACATGTTGGAAAAAGACAGTGAAAGTGCAGGAAAATGCGATAACAACCAGAGGAAATGGTGCAAAAACGATCGGAAACTGAAGGAGACGGGTAAAACTCTTGGAAAAATATATTGAAAATGCATGAAATGCAGGAAACGAGAGGAAATGGTACAAAAAGCCATAGAGGAAAGCGGTGAAAATGGTAGGAAGCATGTAATAAAAAAAGCTGGACAAAACACAGTGAAAACCTACAAAAGAGAAGAAAGTAACCACAGGAAACGGTAGAAAAAGCAGTGGAAACTGGAAGAAAAGTTGTGACAATATTAGGAAAACGGTGTACAAGCTAGGAAATGCTTGTAACAACTAGAGGAAACGATGTAGAAAACAGTACAACATGGAGGACACGCGTGAACATGCTAGGAGGCATGTAACATGTTAGAAAAATACAGTGAAAACCTAGGAAAATGTTATAACTAAAAAATGCTTTAAAAAATATAGTGAAAACCAAGACAATGTCAACGAGCGGAAACGTTGAGCAGGAAATCCGATTTGGTTTCTGTAGATAATGTTAGATGATGAGCAATGTAGTTTGGTGATAGGAAATAGTGGCTGACTCGCGTACAAGACATTGCCATGAAACCTTGGAGCAAGATGCGGATGGTATAGGAAAAAAGATGTATGAGTTGTAAGATTTTAGGAGTTGCATGGGAAAATTGGTTTCATGGTAATCTGTGTGAAGTTAGAAAAGTGTGATTTCGTTCACAGAGTAAGAAAAATAAATACAATCTGCAGATTAGAGTATTTATAATGCTTAAAGCTGTTTGACGTTTTTTTGGTGCCTCCCTGATTCTGGTAGTTTTGTGATAAGAACTACAAAAACGATCTACTGGTAAACGGAAGGAATAGTCTTTCCGGTTTAGAACTGAGTCGACTGTCAAGTGATGCATAGGCTCCAGGCCTCTGGTTATTGTCACAAAGCATTGGAATGAAGATTGCGCCCAGGAGCCACCTAGGTTAGGAGACAAATGCTGTAATATCATTGTAAGAGGCCGTACTGAGAAGGCTGAAACAGAACTAAAAGTGAATCTTGTACTAAAACACCGAGAAAGAATTTGAATCTTCTAATGGCAATGACGTGTGCCTTTTAAAAGGGATGTTTGGCGAGTGTGATAGCTGAGAAGATTTTCCGGGATGCCAAACAATTATCTCTATCGATGTCAGGGATGATGCTATTCCGCGACATTTCCTGTAAAATACCTATTTTCCAGACCCTTGGGGGGTGGGGGGGGGTACCCAGGTCTGTAAATGGCCTAAATATATATACTTTTGATTTGGACTGCATGTTCGCCACTGTTCTATATTTCCCGTGGGTTTTGCATTGTTTTCCTCGATTTTCATTCGTTCTTATACCCTTTCTTACGTATGTTATAATATTGTCTTGGGTTTGCACTGCCCATTTTGCGAGTAGAGCTATGTTTTGATTTCTCACCGTACGGCCAAAATGTTGCGGAACTTCGCGGAGAAGCATGGACCACGATTCTGGGGAGAAAACAATTTAGACTTTGAGAGGTCACATGACCACTGTTCACACAAAAAAGCGGGTATTATTTATCTACAATAGGTGGGAGCAAACTTGCGCTGTTTTAAGATAAATGAGCAACCAAAGGCGGATTTACGGAACTTGAGATAGAACTTTTCACAATGCCGCAGTACATTGTAGGAAACATATTTGGATATAGAAGTTACAAAATCGTGGAGTTTACCCTAAAAAGGTCCATTTAATGATTGGAAAATTATGACCCGATAGCAATTGTTGATGTTGGGGCGCTTCATGTTTGAGCCATGCCATATGGATGAGGTGGAGTTTCAGTTTCACGCGCCCCCGCGCGAGTCAAAAAGCAAGCGCTGGCTTTCGTTCCACCCCTTCTCAGGTATACGTGCATATATATATATATATATACGTATATGTATATATAGGACACACACACACACATATATATGTATATATAGCATATAATTATACATATATATATATATGTATATATATATACAAATAGTCTATGTACATTGCAATTTCATATGCCACACACCTGGGAGCCACGGAGCGAACCCGGCGCCGTTGCAGGTGGCCGACTGGACGATTTATCAGTCGCGGTGGCCAGGTGTGGCCGCGGGGCGATTGGAGGAGCTTTTCAGCTTCTCTTCGAGGCAGGGAAGGCCATGGTTCAACATGGGATTAACCATTAGAAATATAGAGACGTAATGGGATTAATGGGATTAATGGGGGATTAATGGGATTAACCATGATTAACCATTAGAAATAGAGACTTAACATGAGTGAATTTAGGGTGGTTTAGGCTCAACATTGGGATTTAAATATGGTTCAACACCAAACATGTTGACTTTACCACAGAAAAAATGGGGATTCCCCAGGAAAACACCTGGGACATGGCTGAGTGAAGGATCCGTTAACTAGAACAAAAAATGGATACCCTTATGGGTGAAGGGCAGGGGATGTTGAACTTCTTGAGGAACACTCACGAACTGGGGATCACTTGATTTGCCACAGCTGCATTTGCTATGCGTCTATGCGTTACCCCAAAATACAGTGTCACACCATTCTGGCAGTGTATCTTAGCCACGCAAATCTGGGGTGCTGGGTGTGCAACTCTATCCCCAAGAATGAGGTCTTGGAATGACACCCCAATTGAGGATAGGATCCTACTGCAAAGGCGGATAGAAATGCTGGTTGATGCTAGTTTCGGATGACCAAAACAAGGAAACTGGTTGATCTTCATTGGGAAAATTGGCATGAAACACAAATGCGTGGTACCCTCCAAAGATGAAAAGAGCCACGTCAATTTCCCTGGAACTATTTGGAACTAATTAAGTTGTGGGAGAAATGAGATGAACTTTGTAATTTCCGCACTGCCATACTTTCCCTGTTTGTCCAATATCTAACACCTGGATTTCCCACAACGTGTTGCCTGTTGAAACTGGTGTTCTTTGCTGGTCGAAATGACCTCAAAGTATCCACACAGCAACGGGCCAACGTCACGGTTGGCTGATGTTGGCTGCTTGATTTTCCACAGGCAGGTGAGCCACAGTGACATCTTCACCCGGCAGAACAGTGTCATGCCTGCAACGCAGCCGGCATGTTGACTGCGATTTGATGAGAGGGATGATCGGGTCAAGATTAGAACAAGATGATCATGATGATCAAACAAATCAAAAACATTCTCTAGTTTCGAACCTTTCTAGGGGTTCAACTTCACGCAAACGTCAGAAGATTGAGTCTATGGAGTTCTCCTTTCTTCCTTTTTTCATGGTCTTCATCAGCAACACGTTGCTGCGAGGCTACAATGCCGGCGACTCACCATGAAGATCTGGAAGCATCCGCTGCAGCTGATGCTTTTCAATAGCTGCCACCTATTTCCCAGGTCAGCCCAAAGTGGCTGATCCGACTGGGTGAATGGGAGGTTTTCGGATTGAAAAAGGAAGGTTTCTTCGGCCATGAAAGCAGTATGTCTCAGAATATGTGTGAAAACAAGGGGCATTTGAACGATTTGATAAGGGCATGCATGGTTTTATGACATCGGTTCGAAATTTCCCAGATGGATCAGCCCAATCTTAAGCCCAAGTCAGTGCTGAGGTTCTGTGGTCGCTTGAAGCTGGCCCTTCAACCTCGCCTCTCGAGGCTCTAGTTCACTGGATTCAAGGTGGTTGAAACATGTTGAAAGATGGTTTAGTGATCCACAGAACAGTTGTTGATTCTGATTGCGGATCCACATGTTCTATCTAGAAGGCCAATTCCCAAGCATGGGATTACCATGGGATACCATGGGGTTATGTCTCATTGAAACCACATTCATAGAAGTTAGAGGGGCATTCATGTGGCCTCCCCAAAATTCTGAAACGGCCTAGCCGTCTTCGCCCCCAAAAAAATCGGAATACCCGTGGTACAAGGTGTAAATAAACATGGAACGACCATGGTTATATCCTCACAATTTCGAGAAAATCGCTGGAGGTTTGGAGGTTTTTGACCCAGAACTGGCAGAATCTCAGGGCATGGCTGCTGAACATCCGCTTCCTGCGGACGCTGTTGGAGATGGAGGTCTCCTCGCTCCGCTCCGAGGACCGACGATTGGGAGATTGCTCTGGAATCATTCCACGAATCGTAGCTGGTGAGTTACCATGGGATAATCCACAGGGACTTACGATCACCAGGGTTACCAACCACTTACTAAGTGGGATGGTCCTCCAAGTAACATGTGAAGGTTAACAACCGCCCATTTTATTGGTGGATGCTAATGGAATTGGTTGGCCTGAAAATGGGGGATTGACTGTGACCTCAAATCAATGACCATTTTGAAAAGGGGAAAGTGTTTGGTTTTAAATGTTTTAAACTCTGAAACCATCAACAAGTTTGGGGTTCATATTTTCGGAAAACCGCACGGGGATATTCCAGCGGAAATTTTGCTGGTCAATGAGGAAGAAATCACTAGGACCAAGCAGTGTGGACTGGATGTAGTAGATTCATGCTAGCCAACCAATAGATGGGAATCTGACAGTGGCCGCTGCTCATGAGTGGACAAAAATTAGGGGGCACTCCCAAAGTGGGAGGGCTGAACATGAAGAAAATATGGATTTTCTATGATGTTCTGGAGTCTTCAAGTTTGACCGGCAAAAAAAGTGGTGGATTGTTCCAGGCACTGAACTTGATCGGGCATGAAAATACTGATGCAGTACAAGAGCTCAGATTGCGGGGGGCTCAGAGATTCAACCGCCTTTTTCGCAGCTAGGATTTGTGGGCCCGTTGGTACCGAAATGGCTTGAGCCCATAGGCAGCTTTGTGGCGCTCAGGTCGTGGATTCAAGAAGCCTTGATCCCCAAAGCCATGCAGAAGACCCTGATCACCCAGGCGGCAGAAACCAATGGCCATAGGGATCAAAACCTGATCAGTATCCTACTAATCCTACTAATCCTACTAATCCTACTAATCCTACTAATCCTACTGTTCACAACATCAAATCGCATCAAAATAGCTGACATTTCTGGATGGTTATCTCTGTTGACGAATGTGGGGAAAACAACAACCCAGGGCCACAGTGGAAGGGGTTGGGGGTTGGTCATCCCCAGCACCATGTGCAGAGTATCCCCGTTTTTTGGGGGTGTGGATAGTTGGAATGGTCACGGCAATGCAGACAAATACGAATCAAACATGGAAATGACAGATCTGTGATCTGTCACAAATCCCAATGGACCTCTTCGGAATTTGAAGAGGATCGCCTTGAATAGAGGCTCTATTGCAGCAGAATGCCATCATCAGACTAGCAGCCTTGCAGCTGTTGATAGCTGTGCATGTCTCAGTGGTGGCTGGTGCCCCTTAAATTTTGGACCCCTCTTTGGGACATTTGGCTGATTTGGTGATTGAACAAACGTCTCCCTGTATCCCAATTTAAGGGATACTAGTGAAACCAGGTGCGCTGTTCCAATGTAGGAACCACCCTCTTGTCAGACAGACGACCTGACTTGATGATTTTGGTATTGTCTTGCATTCCTAGTCTAAATGGCTTAAACTTTGAAGAAGATGGTGTGCAGAACAAGCTTGTGAATCTGATCATTCAACCAAGGCATTGCAACGGCTGCAGCGAGCTGTGGTCGGGTGCTCTTGGGAGCCTGCTGAAAAGGAGGACCGACCCACTGCACCGGGTCAAATTCATTAAAAACCGTGTTTGGCAGTTGATTGGGGTTAACTAATATCAATTACATATAATGTTCAGTAATATTGATTAAATTAACATTGGTGTGATATTGATGAAGCTGCCTCGAATGGATGTGACATTGGGAGATTATTTGACAATTGACATAACTTACTACTGGGGTCCCTTGTAGATGGTTGATGGAAGTTGGCTGCAGGAGTTGTTGCAGCGAGCGCAACATCAGCTTCCAGAGCTGAATACCTTGCTGCTGTTGTGGCAGCAGCTGTGTAAGGAGGACCACTTTGATCCCACGCCCACAGTTGCCCTGCTTTCATATGTTCTCGGGGATGGGAAAGTGGGGAAAACATGACCACTTGATCCTGGGTACTTAATGAATGTTTTTTTTTTTTCCCCACGAATTACAGTTGGGTCCGCTGAATTGCCAACTGCTTAGGAGCCCTCCTTTGACCTTGAAGGCCGTGCCGATGGAATTCTTGCTGTGAAAACAAGCTTCGAATTGCCAAATGCATGGCAACTATTGATATATGTATAATTCCTGAGAAAATTGATGATCATTCAAGACAATTCAAGAATATTCAAGATATATACAGTAATTCATGAGAATTCATGATGCTTTCAATTAAAGGAACAAACATGTAAAGCCTAAGACATAAGACATGTGACCTGCACCTCACCAGTCAGAGTTGCCAGGCTCAACGCCTTCAAAGTCCAAGGGCGCCAAGGGCGCCAAGGGCGCCAAGCGCAAGTGATGGTCCCCAGGGGGCCTCCATTCCGATTGGCCCGGTTGGTTGATCATCTAACAATTTGCGAAGAAAATCTGGAAGAATCACCGGTTTCGGTAAATCAATGCAAATCAATGTAAACCATCGAACGAGGAACTAGGTAAATGGATGTAAATGGCATAAATGGGCCATCTATAGAATCTATACCAGTTCGCAAGCTGTTTAAGTGAAACTACTGGAGGGTAGAAACTGATCCACAATCCATGGCTCTTGTAGGATGAATCCCCAAATTGTGGGAGTATTCTGCTCACCCGCAGCTGAACCGACCCTGGACTGATCTGAGAGCTGCTCAGGCACGGTGGGGCTGCTGAAGAGTGGCCGTCCCCATCCCAGTCCATGTTCTTGCGGAACAAGGCTGATAGACCTTTGACACAGATGAGCAAAAAAAAAGTTGACACACCACCCAGTCATGAACTGGGTCTTGGACAAGTGTTTTTGATCCTGAGATTTCAACCCAAAGGTGGTAATCCCTTTCATGAGGATTGCGATTCCAAACCACCAGCCTAATCTACCAGTTTCCCATTCGTTGTCATTTGTTGATCCAAGAATTTGGTCGGGTTCTACAGTTCTACCATCCCAACCCAATTCCAGTGTTTTCAAATATACCCAATCTACCAGATTCATTGGTTCATTGGCAATCGGAACATAATTCCCAAGACTTCAAGTGTACTCGTATTTTCTACTATCCCAACCTGCGGTGTCATTTCTACCCTACTTTTTTTTGGTCATCTCCAAGATACGTCTCTAAGGGTCGAAAACGGAGACAATGGAGACGCTGACGCCTATGAAACCACTGAAGTTCTGCAGGAGGGAGTCGATGTTTCGCGTGGGGGGTATGTGGTGAACGCAACAACCAGAGCCTTTTCAAACTCGTTTGCTCGAAAATGATGCGGATGGATCATGAACAAAATCACCTATATGGAGAATTAGTTGACGATCACAGTATCGACTTAATCCATCAGCTTTATCCATCAACTTTCATCATCCACCAGCTACTGTACATCCAACTACAACATCCACATTGATTTCATCACAATTCCACATTTGGCTCAAGACTGTTGGATCCCTGATTGGATAGGTTAGTATTGAAATCAACCAAAAAACACCGGGCACATTCATACCTTGATTGGTGGTTTCAACTATATTCACCGCTTCATCCTGTCCCATTTGATATGATGATCGCCATCATATGGCAGTTTCTTAAAGTAGGGGCACCCCAAAAATCACAATAAAAAAGAGAGATTTTAAGTATCGAAACTCATGGGTTTGGGGATCCCTTAATTAAAAAAACACCATATACTTGTGGGTTTTGTGTCTGTAGGATTTTCCGTTTGGGTGTTGAAAGCACCTGACACAGGTGACTCGTGAAGAGATGCTCCAGTGGATGGGACTGGATGGCCTGGATCTCAGAGAAGATTCTCCTGTTACCATACTTTCCAATAGTCAAACATGGCAATAGGTAATAGGAAATCCCTTAGCCATCTCTAAATGGACATTTTAACATCTCTAAAAGTGGGATTTTTCATTGCCATGTTTGATTACCAGAGGGTACCAAAGATGATCACTTTAATTTCGGAACCTTGAAACATCATTAAATGCTCGGAATTGGAGATTGCTAGCAAAATCATCAGGTGTACACTTCTTGATCTTCTTGTGAGTTCCATGTAGGCTTTAGGTATGATGAGAAATCACCAAGGATACAACTAGCGGCATAGCTTATGGATATTTTGACCGCAATGGGCAATGGGTTGCCATATGTTGCCATCAACGATCATAAACCACAGAGGTATCCACCACCTCCGTCCCTATCGCCACTCAGAGTCCAGGGCCGGACATGCCATCTCACTTGGTCTTTACTTGCTGGTGCAAGAGCATCCAGAGGCGCGGAAACAGCGCCAGGTGATGTTCATATCACTTGGTTTTGTTCTTGGGGAAACAAATTTGGTTATGGAATATTAGAGACATTTATAGAATGTTATGGAATGTTATGGAATGTTATAAACAAACTCATCTCCGAGTCACAGGTACTTGGAGGTTCTTCCCCAAAGTGCTTTGGACGTGAAGTTCGATTGGTTGGAAGCTCAGCGTCCAACGCTTCGCCACTGCGACCCCCGGCTGCTCAGCTTGCAGTAAGTCTCAGGTCGAAGCTGCTGTCGGCTGTGGCCACTCCAATCATCGAATCGAAAGGTTGGCAGATTATCCTCCAGTAAAATCGCATGATATGGAAACCCCACCATGTCTTAATATATGAACTGTGAAACATTCTGCATTGCACCCATGGACATGAAATCCTTGTGCCATTCATCCGGTGCATGTGACATGTATCGGCCCGAGGGCCCTTGAGTCAGCTGGTTCGCAAAACGTGCCATGTGCGACTGCAGCAGCTCGCTTCGTCGAAACTCTGCTTTCAAACTGGTAGCGGAGCATTGGCTCCTGCAACTAACGGCAATTGCTTTGCTGTCCCTGGGCTCCTACCTTTGGTGCTTGGGAGCGATGGCATTGGATACCCTACGGTATGGAAGTTTCAAGCCCACCTATGTGGCGACGGACACAAAGGCACTTCCAGGATATGGTGGAGAAGTTCAGTCATGGGCTGACTACCGTTTCGCTGTGGAGGCCTTGGAAAAGAAGGAGGCGCAGATCGCAGAAGGCGAGAGAAAGAAGTTGGGACCATTAGCCCTTAGGCTGACGGAGCGATTGGTTGGACCCGCCTTGCAAGTGGCAAAGAAGGTTGGAGTGGAGAAACTATCCCAACCAGATGGTGTGAAGGTATGCTGGAAGCCTTGGAGAAGCAATTGCTTCCACTCAGGAAGCAAGCGGCCTTGGAGTTGTATCGAGCTGGAATGCGCGAAGGGATCCTATCGAGGCAAACTGGTGAGCCGATGAGTTCATATTGCCTACGTCGAGAAGCATGGTGGACGCAGCTTCGAGACATGGACCCGAGCATTCAGTGCAGTGATGCAATTCTGGGTGAGCAGTTGCTTCAACATGCAGGACTGGGCCATCTGGAACAGCAAATGGTGAGGACGGTGTGTCAAAATGACTTGAGTGACATGGACCGTTTAGCCAATACCCTAAGGGATCAGTTTGGGACACTCCATGAAAGGGAAACCAATCGGGGAAAAGGAAAGGGTAAGTATGAATACAAACCCTGGTCTCAACGGACTGGCTATATGACGGACTTCGCAGATGACAACTCTCTGGAAGACTCCTCTCAAGCTGGCTACAACGCTGTGGAGACCTACCAGGATTCCTATGCCAACCACCAGGAGGATGATGAGACCTATGGTGACGATGATGCAGCATGGGAAGATGACCAGCGTGAGCGGGAGATCGAAGAGGAGGTCGTGATCTGGTATGCCAGCCAGAGCATTGATGCGCAGACCTGTGCGCAGGAAGACTTGGAGCTTGTGGTCGACGCTGTGGAGGTTGAAATTTCGGCCTACTACAACCGTATGCAGGCTGAACATCGTGGAGTCACCAGCCCGGCCAACAGTTCCAACTATGCTGGTGGATCATCGACTATGTCAAGCCAAGAACGCCAAGCCAAAGTTCTAGCTGCGAAGCAGCGATCTCACTGTCGTGCATGCGGGCAACTTGGTCATTGGCAACGTGATCCAATTTGTCCCCAACGAGGTCGTGGAAAAGGATTTGGAAAGAAAGGCAAAGGAGGCAAGTTTGGGAAGGCCAAAGGTGACTATGGAAAGTCTCGTGGAAAAGGTGGAAAGAAGGACAAGCCAAGAGTGGTCTACTTCGCTGTGGGTGAGGCCAGTGGCAGTGGCGATGGACATTGCTACATGGTGCTTCATTCGAGCCTTGACGATCCTGGGACACCTACAGGTTCTGCAGAAGGACGCCTTGAAGGACGCCTCGATGCAGAGCAGCAACGAGCCTTGGAAGCCGAAGTGCAGCGTTTGATGCAGCTGCCGAGGGATGAGATTGACCGGAGACTTCAACAGGAGTTGGAATTCATGCCCCCGGTTTCGAAGGCTGCCCCATCATTGAAGAGCCCTACACCTGTGCCGAAGGCCATCATGCCACCATCTGACTTGGCTACATCATCTACTTCGAGGACACCTTTGACGGCTTCGAGTTTGTCATCGATGAGACCTCCCGTGCCACCTATGCCTACCAGAAGCAGTGGACCAATCCTTGAAAGTGAGCCTGGAGATCCAACACCTGGAGATGGAGGAGTGTGTGCCCACCGGAACATTACGAGAAGAGGAAGCAATCAGTACCTCACCATGGTGACCTGCAAGGACTGTGGACAACGACTTCAGATCGAGCGGCGTGAGCCGGATGCAGACAGGCCAATGGCAGTTTTCACCCCTATGGAATGCCCTCATCCTACAGATCAAGTCTCGTGGAGAGGAAGCAATGGCTATGCCTGGAAATGGAGCTGCGCTGCTTGTGGAGCCAGTGATTCTGTGAAGAAGCAACCTGGCCAACCTCGTCCTGTACCTGGACAAGGATCTACGTCAGTGGTCATTGAGGCTGACGAGAACACCGGCTACAACATCAACAACGAGGCACAGGCCCTGATGGATGAAACCCTTTTTGTCAGTTTGGCAGAATGGGAGCAATTTCGTGGACTACTCGGACGCATGGTGAATAATCACATCACCTTGCATGGAGCCATCACACAGGGCGAGTTCTTGCATGTGGTCAACGCCACCTTGCTGTGCTACAAGACACTTGGATCGACCTTCACTCAAGCTATGACATCGATGCCAGTGGCAAAGGCATCACCAGGAGCAAGATCTACGACAAGTGCGGCAAGATCTACATCGAGCGTTGGAACTTTGAGGACTGAAGCCGGAGGAATCGATGGATCCAACATGATCACCTTTGGACGCTACAAGGGCTACACCTTTGCCGACGTCTACGAGATGGACGCTGGGTACGTGCAATTTGCACTGGATGAGCGTGCAAAGGGATCTGCCTATTGCACCAACATGCAGAGGTTTCAGGACTACTGCTTGCGGCGACGGGAATCAGAAGGCCTTGCTGTGGCCTACATGGTGGACGATGAGTTCGCAGTGAGCGGACCTGAAGATGACGATGTGCTGATGTACTTGGACAGTGGCTGCAACTCCACATGCCACGGCCAGTACTGGATGGAGAAGTTTGAGGATGCCACCAACTATCGGCCGCAATGGATGTCCCGAGAGCGCAAGAACCTGATTGGAATTGGCGGAGCTGCCTTGAGCTTGGGCATCAGGAAGCTCTACATCGCCCTGGAGACCTTGGAGGGATACAATGTCCCCGGCATCATCACCTCGATTGAGATTGAAGGATCTCATGCCCCTCTTCTACTTTCACTTCCAGCTCAACAAGATCTCGGCATGGTGATCGACTTGGTGGAAGGCACTGTGAAGTCTCGGACCTTGGGATGCACCTTCAACGCAGTTCGAGGACGTCGCAACAGATTGATCGGACTTCGTTTGACCCCTGGTGACTTCATGGACGACGGTGCCACGATCCCGGTGAGTCTCATGGCAGAGGCAGACGATGGAGACCGAGGAGATCGAGATCGAGATCAATGGAGGAGGCATGCAAAGACCCTTATGACTCATGAGGTGAAGAAGCTGCCGATGAAGAAGAAGCGCCACAGAGGACATCAACAATGTGTCCGAAGAGGAAGCCAACAGGATTCAGCTCGTGGAAGTGCAGATCCACCGAGCTTTGAGACCTACAATGGCCTGGAGGATTGGACAGAGGATGACGTCTTTCCCCCAGCACCACAACCACTACCAGAGACGGAGGATGATGAGTTCGTCTATGTGGAGGTGGACGTGACGGATGATGAAGACGATGATGTCATCATCACCGAGGACAACCCGGAGAATGCCGAGTCCGAAGAGGAAGAGAACCCGGAACGTCGTGATGAGTCGACTCAGGACATCATCAATGAGCTCGAGGCGCTGCCTGACGAGGTCTTCGACGCTTTTCCGGATGAGCTCTTCTTGCCCGGAGGTGGAGACGGAGATGGATCGCCGTCGAGCCCTACGTCTCAGCAACACCCTGAAGAGGATGAGGCAGACTGCTGGGAGCTGAAGGATGACCTGGTGATTCGACACCACTTCACACCCAGGAAGCAGTTCTTCAACCCGAAGGACGCTGAGCTGTCCCTTCCCATCGATCTGAACCGTCTTAGTTCAACCAGATGGACTTTCATGGAATACCTTGACAAGGAGGAGAAAGATACTGAGATCGATGAGTGGAAGGAGAAGCCATCAACTGCTGGACGAGATCGGGTGTGGGTTGGAACTACGGAATTCCGTGTCATCCCAGTCGATGAGGAGTTGAAGACCCAGAGGATGTCTTGGGAAGATGGGCCTAAGAAGGTCATGAACAGAGGCCAGCGCAAGAAGATCCACGCTGAGGTGCAAGACATTGAGAAGGAGGACTATGCCTTGTGGAGTGTTCTTCGACGTCAGCGCCCAGCTATGCCACGTGGATGGAAAGCTCTTTTGGAGTTGTTCGCTGGTGCAGCGGTTTTGACCGCGACCTTTCAGGCTCAGGGCTATGAGTGTTGCCAGCCCTTGGACATTAGATCTGGATGGAACGTCTTTGACAATGATCAGAGGAAGCAGGTTGAACACACCATCGAGAAGGAGAACCCCTATTTGCTGAGCTTAGCATGGCCGTGTGGACCTTGGTCGCCTTGGCAGAGACTTTGCCCAGACAAGGACCTGGTATGGGCCAAGCGCCGTGATTGGCTGGAAGTTTTTCGCTGGTTCAAGAAGATCATCAAGAAGCAACGAGATCGAGGAGGAGTTTCGATGCTGGAGAACCCTTGGCCAAGTGAGGCATGGAACACGGAGGAGATGCAGCAGGTGATTGCGCTTGGACTGGAATGCAACAAAATCGACATGTGTTCCTTCAACCTTCGAGATCGAGAATCTGGTTTGCTTCACCGAAAAGGGACGTGCATCGCCACCGACTCCCCTGGGATCAGCGAGACCCTTCATGGAAAAGTATGCCACGGAGGACATCAACATCAGCCATTGGAAGGCAAGAATGCCTATGGATCACGGTGCCAACAAGCCGGCAAGTACACTGTGGAGTTCTGCAAAACGATTGTGAAAGGAGTCCAACGAGATTTGGAGAATCAGCTATGCTATGCCTTCGCTGCTGAGGATCTGCTGGAGGATGTGGAGAACCAGGATGATTCCGCAACTCTTGATGGAATCCATGGTCCTGACGATTTGGGGAAGCTGTCTGCTTCTCAAGAAGTTGAACGCAACGTGACCCATGAGGAGGACCTGGAGCTTTTGGACAAGGACGCAGACCCTGAAGGCGAGAAGCTGAGGAAGCAGGAATGGAGAAAGCTCTCCAAAGCTGAACGAGTTGGCATTCGCCGTCTTCACCACATGACGAGCCATGCCACCAAATCTCAGATGACTCGGATGTTGAGGTATGCCAACGCCGACAAGGCTGTGATCAGAGCTGTTCGGCATTTCAGGTGCCCTTCTTGTGACCGAATTGCACCTGAGGCAAGACCACAAGTCGTGAAGCCACCGGACCCCTACGTCTTCAACGATTCCATTGGTATGGACATTTTCACCATCAAGGACGCCTTTGAGCAGCCCTTCCATGTGCTTCATGTTATTTGCTTGGGAACCCACTTTCATGCTGGCGAAGTTCTTGGAGTCGCCCATGGAGTGCCGAGTTCCAACAAATGTCTTCAAACCTTGCTGAGGATTTGGATGAACTGGACCGGATTGCCCACGCACATTGTGTGCGACCGCGGCACCCACAACCGTGGCGTGCTGATGCAACAACTGGAGCAACGTGGATGCAGATTTCGCTTTGCTGCTTTGGAGGCACCCTACCAACTTGGGAAGATTGAACGTGGAGGTGGCATCTTGAAAGGCATGATGAAGCGTGTGATTGCAAGCACCACTACAGTCGGAGAAGATGAGCTTCGAATGTGCTTGGTGGAATGTTTGGAGACCAAGAACCGCCAAGGAACTGTGAATGGATTCAGCCCTTGCCAATGGGTTCTTGGACGCAATCCTCGCATGTTTGGATGGCAAGACGAGGTGGACGATGACTTTCACAACGTCTTGGACCCTGATCCAACATCAACCTTCAATCGACGTGGAGCCATGAGGGAGAGTGCACGCCTTGCTTGGGCGATGGAGGACAGTCATCGACGTGTCCGAGCAGCACTACTTCGTCGTGGTGGAACCCCTGAGGAGGTCTACAGACCAGGAGACCTCATTGCTTTCAAGAGGAAGCAGAAGACTGGTGGATGGGTTGGACCAGCTCGAGTCCTTGCCACGGAAGGCAAGAACCTATGGATCTTGCACAGCGGCATCCCTATCTTGGTCGCTGGCAACAGAGTCCGAGCTGTCAACGCTGAGGAGCACCTGGAGAATGAACTTCTCGACAAAAGCAGACTGAGCAGGAAGAGGCCATTTCTGGACCCAGAAGCTGTTCGTCAACCACATCGCTTTGATGACCAAGGACAACAACCCTATGTGGACATGAGAGGACCGATTGGTGGAGATCAATCTGGAGCAGATCGATCTGGAGGAGAAAGTCCCAAGAGGGTGAGGTCTAGCGATGAGGGAGCCAGCAGCCCTGCCAGGAGCTCACGGGTGCCATCTGCAGCAGCTTCTCCAGCTGCACCTGCCAAATCAGATGATTTGGATGAACTTCTGGATGCGGAAGTTGAGGAGAGTGGAGGACCAGCCAGAGCGGCTGCCCTGCTGTGAATGACCAACCTCAACAACCATCAACCAATCAGCAACCTGATCTACTATCGACATCTCAACCTTATTCCGTGCAACCTGAGGAGCAAGTTCAACAACATCAAGAAGAACGACCCGCAGCGGTGACTGCGAGACAAACTACCGCTACTTCCACAACTGGACCCCCAATGGTGCGCACACCACTGGCCAAAGCAATGGCAATTGACGGAGGAGACCGACTGGACTTTGGTGTACTCCGTACAAGAGCCATGAGAACGGAAAGAACTGGGCCTTATGAGAGGATTGAACCTCAGGCCGAGGAAGATGAGCGACCTGCAGCTCACTTCAACTTTCCAGAGCCGACTGAAGCCAATTTGGCTTTGGCAAAGGAGTTCGTTTGCTTCATGGTCAAGCGCAAGAACAAGTCGGACTCTCACGAGATCAACTACGGCCGAGCCTCTGATGAGATGAAGCGGAAGCTCAATGAGAGCAGGGCCAAGGAATGGTCCAACTGGCTGAAGTATAAAGCCATCCGCTTTCCGACTCAGGCCGAGATCGAATCCCTTTTGCTGGCCGGTGAGAGTGTGATCCCAATGAGATGGGTCGACATTGACAAGAATGAGAAATTGAGAGCACCTGGCGACACAACAATTCCTGAGAAATTGAAGAGCCGCCTGGTGATCAGAGGAGACCTCGAGGATGGCAACTTCAGGACAGATTGTCCAACGGCATCAAGCACAGCCGTCCACATCTTGCTGAGCTATGCCAGTTGCAAGAGGCTGAAGCTGAAGTCCGGAGACATTTCAGCGGCTTTTCTGCAGGGAGCACCTATCCAACGTGTGCTTCTACTTTCAGCCCCTCGAGATGGAATTCCAGTGGAAGGAGGCCCGTGGATCTCACCCGAGGAGTACATGATTGCACTCATGAGCGTCTATGGTTCCAAAGACGCACCTCGTGGTTTTTGGCTGGAACTACGCCAAACCATCATCGACAATGGTGTTGTGGAGATCGAGCCTGCCTTCTACGCCCTGATTCATGAAGGAGAATGCCATGGACTTTTGGCTACACATGTGGATGACCTTCTTTGGACCGGAACACCTATGATGGATGAAGTGATGAACAAGGTCCAAGAGAGATTCACTTTTGGAGCAACGGAAGAAGGGAGCTTTCGTTTTTGTGGCCGAAAGATCGTGGACACCGAGGACTACATCTCAGTCTCTTCGCCGGAGACACTTTCCAAGGTGAAGCCAATACACATTGACGGAGGACGTCAACGTGAGCCTTCATCACCGGCTTCGGTGTCTGAGCAGAGCCAAATGCGTGCAGTGCTTGGTAGCATTGGATGGGTCGCCCGACTTTGCCGACCTGAGCTTTGCTATGGCTGTTCTTCGCTTCAGGGAAAACAAGCCAAACCAACGGCTGAAGATTTGCGCAACACCAACAAGCTGTTGGCATCAGCGCAGAAGACAAAGGACAATGGTGTCCGATTCGTGAAGGGCAAGTTCGACTTTGAAGAAGCCATCTTGCTGTCGGTGACGGACGCTTCGCATGCAGCAGAAGTCAGCGTGACCGAAGATGGGAAGACCCAAGGCCACCGCTCACAAAGTGGCAGGTTTCTACTTTTGGCTGGAGCTGCGCCAACTGTCAGACAGCCGGCATGGTGTCACGTGTTGGAGTGGCAATCTCAAACTTTGAAAAGAGTTTGCCGTTCGACTTTGCAGGCGGAGGTTTTGAGCTCTATGCTGGGATCGGAATCAGCCCAACAGGTGCGGATTCTTCTTTACTCCTTGAAATACCCACGCATTCCTGGTGACCGTGGGATGGGATGGAAGATTCTGGCTGCCGATTCGAAACTGGTGCTGTGGTATTCTGACTGCAGATCGTTCATCGATTACATGTCTGCCACGACGCCTGGGAGCATCACCGACAAGAGATTGGCCATTGACATGACGGCCCTTCGACAAGAGCTATGGCGTGGAGAGAATGAAGAGATCGGAGATCCTTCATCGAGTCCGAAGATGCCCATTGACGCGAAGGACCAATTGGTATGGATTTGTACAGCCGACATGCTGTCGGACCAATTGACAAAGTCAATGCGCTGGGACTCCGTGCGCAACCTTTGTGACACCGGATGTTTTCCACTGACGGTCAGTCCGCTCAGAGCCGGATTTCAGTCCAGTACAGACACAGGGGTGTGAAACATTCTGCATTGCACCCATGGACATGAAATCCTTGTGCCATTCATCCGGTGCATGTGACATGTATCGGCCCGAGGGCCCTTGAGTCAGCTGGTTCGCAAAACGTGCCATGTGCGACAGCAGCACGCTTCGTCGAAACTCTGCTTTCAAATGAACCATGGAATTTTATGGAGTTCTCCATATCTACTAATGTTGATCAGTGTGCCGGAAGGCGGTGACGTGTACCGCACCTTGGCATGCGTGAAGTGTGTAGCAGTGGCCATGTCTGGGGCTCAGCCAATGCCATGGACCAACTTTGTGATGGAGTGGTGTGGGATTGTTCTCGAATGGGGGATACCCCAACCAAGAGCCACTCAACAACAGGGAAAATTATGGCCCATGGGATTTTGGGGTAGCCTAGTTTCGGATGAACCATGATACACCCATTCTTGGGGCTCAATCTCTCATCTAGGTATTGGCAAAGGTCCCAATGGTGTTTTTCTTGTTGAGATTTGAATAAACTTCCATCCATCTTGAGCCACGAGGCATTCCCGCTCGCAGTCAATGCAGCTCTCCAAATCGCAACGGGCTTGGCTGGAGGCTGGCAGTCCAACATGGGTTTGTTTGAAAGCGGCCACCCAACAAGAACTTACATTCGATGCTTGGTAAGCAGGGAGATACACAAAAAACATTAAAACACATCAAAAAACATGGGAAGCAAAGGGATCTAACGCATTCCAAATCACTCTTAAAGCAACAAGAACATGGCGTATTCAGTAAACTTGCCCGGGATGAGGATCCCCGTTTTTCGCTGTCGGCCAGACCTTGCTTCGCTTGCGCTCCAGCGCGAGTGTTTCTGAAGAGCTGCGGGAAGAGTGCACAGGGTCTGAACGCCAATTTCGGGGTGAAATCCTGGATGATCCAGTTGAGGTTGGCAAATGTTGACTGGTCAGTGGGTCTTAAATCGAAATGCCAGACAGAACACCTGCAACCGAATAGGAAGATCATGGGAATCCTTTGGGATATAAACTCACAAATGCTGAATAACTTGTGGGCCAATGATCTTGACCAAGAAGAGCCATTGATTTCGAGTTTTTTTCAGTTTCAAAGGGGTAGAATCGTGGGAATTGTTTTACCCCTTAAGTTGGGATATATCATGATATATCCCGTATAACTGTGGTTATGTATCCACTTAGTTCATTGGAACTGCACTCTCAAGCATGTTTGCTGATTGCCAGTTGCGCATCCTGAGGCAAATTCTGACATTCCTGCTTGGACGGGGACTGCTAGGACCTGACCTCAGAGCACACACCAGTTTGGGATCTTTTGGTGTTTGAAACGCTGCGAACCAGGGTGAACATGGGTGAACTGACTCATACCCAAACCATAACCATGACATGTTCTTCAAGGTGGTGGATTTTCCTTTGGATCCTTTGGGCCACCCGGCCAGCCGGCCGGTTCTTGGATTGGCCTATCATCCCAATCAACCCATGGTGTTCCTTCTTGGTCATGGCTTGCTGACCTTGGCTTCTTCACCTTATTGGTTTATCCTTAGTATGTCTGGGCCTTAACTCCCATTATATCCAATTATGCCTTAATAATATGTCTTAGATGTTCCCTTCAATTTTCCCTTAAATATCTTAAATCTAACTCATGAAGCCTTACTAAAGGGAAGTCGATGGCGGTCCCAATGGGGTCCCAAGGGTCCCAAGTTCTTTGAGGCCGCTCCGAGCGGGTGGAGTTGGAGTTGCTACTGCTGGCCCTGGAGAAACGTCCGCAGTGCGTGGGGTTCGTGGGCCAGGTGGGTTTCTGATGGGTAGAACTGGGAGTTGAACAGAAGACCTGAGGAAACATGGTATTGCACCGCAATTCCATGTAATTCCATGTAATTCCCCAACAAATATGGGTTCTTACCGGTTTAGATAACTGGGAATCAACGATAAAAAGTTGGAGAACATGGTTTCACAAGTGAATATTCACCAATCAAAGCTAATAATAAGACAACCAAAAGGTTGAACTCATTGGTTGATAGTTGATGCGGGTCAGTACCTCACTTGGGCCTACGTTTTGACTCGCTTAGGCCTATGTCACAGATACATTGATGATATGTCATGTGCAATAGAAGGTGTGTATCCAATGGATCCCAGTATGCTGTACCTCTAGTTGTCTCCTCTGTCCCCAGTCCCCGGTCCTCACCCAAAGATAAACCCTAAAGGTGTGAATCCACTTCCAAAATTGTCGGCCTAAGTGATCCTGGGACCCGCAACGTCGCAACGTCATTTGACTCGCCGCGAGGTGCTTCAAGCTCTCTTCAGCCGACCGGGATACTTCATGTCACTGGCGGAGGCGTGGTCGGCTGGTCGCCAGGCCAAAACGGGTGATGGATTCCACCAAAGCTTTCCCAACGCGAGACACAACGCCAACCTTTTTGCAGAGATAGGTTGAAACGAAACTCAGAGGAACTCTTATTTTTTATTTGTTCTAAACATCGGGTTTTCCAACTCCTCCCTGCAAACAAGCCTTGTCACCCTGATCCCCCTTGATTTCACGGTGAAATCGCACTTTTTTGTGTTGGTCAACCCCTGTGAAACCTGGATTTTTGTTGATGGTCACCCATACATCTAATGATTTCCCACTGATTCCCCAATTCCCAATGATTCCCTCGTTGGCACAAAGAAACGCAAGTCATCGGGCCAGGCACCGTCCCTGCTTCCTGTGGCCTTGCTGCAGCACCTTACGCGCCGTGATCCGCAGAGTTTGGCGTTGCCACCCTCGGCAACGCAGCAGCAGCGCTTGGGGACCCGGACCCGGAGGTGGTGGGATGGGTCCAAAGATGGGTAACCAATGGACTCATTTGCGTACGAGTAATGTGTTTATTGAACTTCATCATGATGAAACTATGTTAAAATATCCATTCTTGGTGGATTTTTGGGATGATTTTGACGTGTCCGTCGTTTGGTTTATGCGGGTTTGTCTCCAAATGGGGTATGAAATAAAATGGTGATGACATGATGGTACCGGCATTGGGTTTGGGATATTGGAGGAGACGGAACTCGGTAACTGCCAACCAGTCGATGGTGTGAACAGCAGGGTACCCGTGTGAATTGACCAATTGCCAAAGCCAAAAGATGGTAAACATATGTAAAAATAATGGTCAATAGTGGTAATGGGTAGTAATTAAACTAATAACCCAAATAATGGTAAAGATGGTATAATAATTACCCGAAAACGATTCACACCAAAAATCAGCCAAGAATCTGTGCGTGTTAGGTAAAGCATTGACCCAATCCCAGATCTACCCCTGTGTATCAAGTTTCCATTGGGGGGACACCACAGACTGGCTGTTTGAAAATGATTGCATCCATTGACTGGAAATCAAAGCTAAAAGGGGGTCGAAGATGAATCTGATTTCAGTTGCTTGGGAAGACAAGTCAAGGGATGATCAAATACCAGTTATACCAGTCCACTGCCGCCAACCAAAAAAGGGTTTGATGATAGAAGTTGGATGATAGGAAGTGCCAATGATTTCAAAGGCTGTGATTCCCAAAGTCTTCCTATCAAGGGGACATGGTCATGTGCCAGTCGTCAAGTGGAATCATCAACCAAGTTGGGTGGTTGTCGTGCTGGAAACACAACCAGTCGATCAACATCAGTCAATCAATCAACTGCCACGAAAGACTGCTCAGAAGAAAGGCAGAAATCTTTGGATTTCTTGCACCACAACAGCATTTTTTGATGGATTGAGTCACTGAGTTGATTTTTTTTAGATTCGAGGAAACCATAGTTTTTGCAAGTTTCTACTTGTTACCTCCCAAAAACTGCAACTTTCAAAACGGAAAACCCTAGCTGTGCCGCCAGGCTCGACGACTGCACTGACCTGCTGCAAGATGGTGAAGCACTTCCTACTGCAGATGGCCTCGCAGCAACCTCAATATGAATGGATGGGTTGTGGAAGATTATTTTCCATGTGATTTTCCAGGTTTTTCCCAGTGAATCATTTCGATCTAGCACTAGCCCTGGAAAATTCCAAGGCCTCCGAATGTTGGTTTTTCAAGTTTGTGGTGGGAAATCATAAGACAGGAGGGTCAGCTCTTCCCGAGGTCATTGCCGGAAACCGCCAAAGCTGTGCTGGGACTCGTGCGAAGCATTGGAGAGTGGAAGGCTGGAAGCGTCACTTGGCATTGAACTTGAGAATTGATGATGTCAAAGAAGCTGGGGATTTATAGAAGAAACTGTTATTTAATGTTATTTAATGTTATTTATAGAAAATAAGCTGAATTGAACTGATATCTGATACACACATACTGAACTACCCTGGCTCACTGGAACGGCACCTGGGCAAATTCTAGTGACATCAGAACTATAGATATCTATATATAGATTAGTACATGTTGGTAGGGGGAATCATTCACACACTCGCATGTTTTTTTGCTCAGATAGGCAATGATGCGGATGATACTGGCATGTTACTGGCCTAATCTCACCCACCCTGAGGGTTTCTACATGTTTCAACCATCCCAAATGAGGATCATCTGACCGATAATTGGAAAACGATGGGGTATTTTTACGACTTTTTTTTTAGACGATTATGTTCGACCTAGAAAAACAACATCGACAGGATTCGAGAGGTGATTGACTAAGCATTGTTTTCTGAGAGACGTGGGAATCATGGGCCCTGTTCGCCATGTCACCAAGGTGGCACAGGAAGAAGAGGATCCCAGTACCGCAGGTACGCGTTCAACATCTTTCAACGCCGATCCAATCCCGTGATCCTGATGATCATCGAATCTGGTGGAGAATCCGCATGTTGCAGGGTTTTCTGTAGAATGGATACTGAACGTAATATATGAATAATATATATATATATGTATATGTATATGTTATGTATATATATATATATTTATATCTATACTGCAAATGCCCGGGCTTTGCGCCGAACCGCAACGACGACGGTCAACGCATCATCATCATCATCATCATCATCATCACAACAATCATATGAATCATATGCATATATTGAATGTAGATTCTATTATTCTCTAATACCTTTGTTGATCTTCCCAATTGAATGTAAAGTTTAGCGGGGGTGGGATTTTAATATTCCCTGATACCCTTGTTGATCTTCCCAATTGAATGTAAAGTTTAACGGGGGTGGGAGTGTAATTTTCCCTAATACCTTTGTTGATCTTCCCAATTGAATGTAGAGTTTAACGGGGGTGGGATTTTAATATTCCCAAATACCTTTGTTGATCTTCCCAATTGAATGTACTGGTAGAGTTTAACGGGGGTGGGATTTTAATATTCTCTAATACCTTTGTTGATCTTCCCAATTGAATGTAAAGTTTAACGGGGGTGGGATTTTAATATTCCCTGATACCCTTGTTGATCTTCCCAATTGAATGTAAAGTTTAACGGGGGTGGGATTTTAATATTCCCCAATACCTTTGTTGATCTTCCCAATTGAATGTAGAGTTTAACGGGGGTGGGATTTTAATATTCCCAAATACCTTTGTTGATCTTCCCAATTGAATGTACTGGTAGAGTTTAACGGGGGTGGGATTTTAATATTCCCTAATACCTTTGTTGATCTTCCCAATTGAATGTAGAGTTTAACGGGGGTGGGATTTTAATATTCCCTAATACCTTTGTTGATCTTCCCAATTGAATGTAAAGTTTAACGGGGGTGGGATTTTAATATTCCCTAGTACCTTTGTTGTTTTTCCCATAGGAATTTACAGTCAGGTTTAACGGGGGTGGGAGTGTAATTTTCCCTAATACCTTTGTTGATCTTCCCAATTGAATGTAAAGTTTAACGGGGGTGGGATTCTAATATTCCCTAATACCTTTGTTGATCTTCCCAATTGAATGTAAAGTTGCAACAACATTTGATTGGGAATGGGAACCCTCTACGCTGCAACGCTGGGGCAAAGCCCAGGCGTTGCGCGTATATATGCACATTGGAATATATCATAATAGAATATTTTTTGTTCATGGAAAGGATATTTAATCTATGGTTATATGTATATATATATATATATATATTATATTATATTATATTATATTATTATATTATATTATATTATATTATGTTATGTTATATTATATTATATACCTGGAAAGCCAAACACACACACACAATTTTCTTGTCATTGTGGGAAAAAGCCGTAATGAACATTTTTTTGGCAAAATATTGTTTTTACCCGTAATGACCAAACAAATTGTCATATCAAAAGAACATTGCAGTCCTACCCGTAGCAAAACCGTATTTTTTTTGACATTTTGTTGAAAAAAAATCGTAAAAAAAACGTAGTAGCTCTCACACAAGCCTATACCAGTAGCAAAACCGTGCTTTATCCAACATTTTGTTGAAAAAAGGCCGTAAAAAACCGTTGCAACTCTCACACAAGTGGTTCCAGACGATCAAAGCCGTAATGACCCAAAAAATTGGTCAAGGCCGTTTGACAAAAAAAATTGGGATCATGGTTTTCCAGGTATATATATATATATAACTAACATAGCCGCAATTTCTTTTGATACCAATGGTTGTTATGGTTTGTTTAGCAAAATATTTTTACCCATGGCTGGCTGAGCGAGAAGATGCAAGGGCAAGGGGTTGGAGCTGTATGCTCCCCATTCCGCCGCAGGGGATACACCTGCAGAGGGTCTCAGACAGTTCGGAGGCCCAACAGAGTGGACACTTTTTCTTTTTTGCCGTGAAGCAGACTAGTTAAAAACAATGCCCGGAGAATTTCGTTGACAAAGACAGGAAGATCTTCCCAACAAAGGACCATTCGACCAGATCCATTTCATTCATACCATCATGACAGTGATATGTTTGAAAATTTGGGTCCGTTGACAGGCCATTTCCGGCCTTTCCCCCATCACCGCTCTGGGACTGAGGGAGTTGCTGGAGAAACTCCGATCCAGGTGGGGCGGGTCACGGCTTTTCGGAGACGAGAAAGATTCAACCATTCTGAAGGGGTACTCGTAGTTCTTGGTTTAAAATGGTTGCGATACATGACGGTCACATGGATATTACCCGGCTGAAACGGATTTTTTTCCCAGAATGTGTAAGATTGGCCATCAAAAATAACGCAGACGAACGTTGTTGGCCCATTTTGACACCCAAGGATGGGCAAAACGGGTTGTAGGTTGCTCACTTGATTGGACTGGACATCACTAGATTTGCATGGGGCGATCTACATGAGTCTCGTTCCCCAATAATGTGAGAGACTAAGTTTGAACATGTTTGAACCGTCCGCTGGTCTCACTTAGACAATCGCTGGAAGTTCAGATGCATGTTAGCAATTGAATGCAATTGATAGTTTTGACCCACGAAATATCACAAAATATCATAGAATATCCGTCCATTCCAGTTCAGTTTGGGTTGAATTAAACCACAAACACTAGCCATCTATCTCCATCAACCCCAAGCGACCCTAACTTCCATGGATCAGGAAGCGCAAGCGTGAGGACGACGATGGCCCCCCTGAGGCCGTTGCTTCCAAATATGGCGATGGGTTATGGATGGCCATGGCACCTATGATTTCGAGTATTGGTGAGGGGGCGAACACCCGCAACTACCAAATACATCCAAATACTATAAACAGTGTTGGTTTTCACCAAAGTAGCGAGGTTTTGACCATATTTGTCCATTTTGTCCCTTTTCCATCCCGGAAGAGGATCATGAAATCGTCCACATCAGCCAATATAGGTTTGGGATCGGCCCGAGAAACGACAAAACACTACAAACAATTTTAGCCCAGTTGAACTGCTTCGTGGTTGCCATTTGGCTGAAGAACTGCACCCTGAACTTGCGGATGAGGGGCACCCGCATGGGCCGCATGGCGGATCGGTGTCACCAGCCGGAGCCGGGCAGGGTCCCAAGGCGATGACGACCTTTGCGGAAAGGTTCTTGGAGGAGGCAGTGGAGAAAAGTGATGTTGATCTTTTCAAAGATCTCTTCAGAATATATCCACTGGCAGAGGCGGGGATCGAGTTACGGTGTGAGCTTTATGACTTTATGATGTGATATGATTTGATGCGGTATATGATGGTATGATAGATATGATATGATATGATAGTGTATGATAATATAGGGTGATGTAGAGTAATTTTCAAACAATATACACAAGTGGTGTGTCCACATTAGTCCATCTATTTGTCTTGTCCAAAAGCTTTTGAACCCGCAGGTGGAGGATTATTTTAAGGCTGGGCAGTGGCAGAATGCCTTGATGCTCATGGATCTCCAGCTCTTTCTGGCTCACCGGGAGGAATCCGGTGCTGGCGAGCCACCACCATTGGAGCAGCTGAAGCTGCCCACCTTGCCCGAAGCTGGACAGATTCTCGAGGGACAGGTGAATCAAGGGAATCAAGTGAAGGAATCCAGGACCATCATGGTGACTCCAGTGTTGCCCCAGGCGGAAACCCTGCAAATTCTGATTTTTGTCAACAAGCATGGACTGGACCTCACAAAGACCAAGGCCCTGTTGGCACCTTTGGAGCTGTCGGTGCGTGAGCCATTGATGTCTGACTTTAGTCCAGGTGAGCGATTGCGGGAAACCCTGCCAAAACCAACGGGGTGAGGTATGGATGAGCACGACATGAGGGAAAGTTTGCTTCCAGCATCTCAAAGCTAGTTTGTTTTGAAATCATTGCTAGTCATAGCCCCGGAAAAATGGAACCTTCAGAAGATCCAAACAATCACGATCACTCCCTGAGGTAATGATGGTTCTGCACTCAACCAGCTCCAGGATTTCATGGAGAAGTCAGGTATTTCCTTCGAACGGCTGGATGAC